TTTCTCTCGGAGCTCTAGACGTGGTCTTTATCTCGTCAGATTCTTGCGATCTCCTCTGTTCACGACTCGCAACCCTTACAACGGCTATCACGACAGGAAGATACACACATTTCGCAATGATAGAAAGAGCGGTACTGCCAATCTCAACATCTATGTACTTTGTTCATGTGTCGCTTTGAAGAATTGTTACAGCCAACAGCTAAGCGACATGAAACTTCGTTGTAGCTGTCATACTCGTGAAGTGACCAGCCAGATGAGTATGACCTGCCACGCGCACGCAGAGTCACCTTCTGTACTGCGTTGTTGCGGCATACATTGACAAGGCATGCAAAATGCCTGGCGCATCGCGCCACGTCCATGTGTGAGCTTCTGTAGTGGATGACGTTGATACAAAGGCTTCCATTAAGTGAGTACAACCAATGCGCGCGACGGTTCGACACGGTGTTCGTAAATGACTGAGCACTTCGTCGACACCAAGCGTCAGCACGACACCTTTGGCCATGCAACTTATTTGCGTTGTGATACGTCTCTTACTGTGGAGGCACGGATGCTGTCAGTACCAGGTGTGCAGTGGATCATACCAGAGATTTTGTGGTAGCAACTCATTGAACCGAGCACGACGCACACAATACCACGCGCAATCACCCGATTAGGAAGACGCAACTCAGTGGCGACTCGATTGGAAACAAATCACGGTGAAATCTGCTGAGAAGCCGACAGTGACTCGGATTTCATGCTACGGACTCCATGCGTTGGAGCCACGGCTCCTACTGAACAAAGCGTGAGTCCTCCTCTCGCATCTCATAGGTCGGATGATGAGACCAATTGATGATTCAGGAGCACTACAACCGACTCCATGACAACGACATTGATGGGCACAAGAAGTCGACAGCCGAAGAAAGTACTAACGCCCGCGGTGACAACGCCGGGGACTCGATAATCTGCGCTTTTGCTTCACTGTATGTCTGGCGATCCATCGGGTCCAGATAATTCGTGCAGCATGTGCCAAGTAAAAGGCAACGTGCTCGATGGGACCTTTGCTGCAGAAAGAATCAAGGAGTCAATTGATATGGTGTATGTTTAGGGCGCGATGCGCCGGTTCACGACGGATTCTTGAATTGCATTTTCATGCGTGTGATCGCGTAGACGCATGGCGACAGCCGAAAGACAACAATTGCTCATGTTAACCATTCCGCCATGAAGAGAGTAGGTAAGGAGTCAGTAAAGAAATCATGAGGCTTAGAGTAGCATATGATTGCGAACGAAAGACCCCTGAAACCTACTTTTTGTTTTACCTCCTCATACACTACACTGCAAGTAGAGATGAAATGGTACTCAATATGCCTATATTGTCATGCGTGTCGAACTGTTCGTGGTGAATCTCATCTTAGGCCAGAAAGCCACAGACTGCTACCAGCAACAGCGACTGCTTCCTCAATGACACTTGTTTGCTAAGAGGCCGTCACTAGAGTGGCAGTATGTGCTGACATCGAGCCGGCTCAAGCAGTGAAATATCTACTTTCTTCTCACTGAGGATATGATAGCTTCGTACGCTTCATCACCTTGACCGAACATGCATTTACTATGAAATGACGACAAATTGGGTATTGCTGGTCGATAACGTTCATTAATATACCTCACTTTCACCACCACCATCTAAAATGACGACGTCTTATTCGGTACGCTTCATCGTCCAGCAAGTTGGGTGACAGTGATCGCAGCGTCAGGAATTTTGCAACGTAGGATTCCTTGCGCTAGTATTGAACGCGTCCAAACAATTGACCGGGTATATCGTCACATCTTGAACGCTCTAGACGATGTGGACGATCTTAAAATGTCCGGAAGAGCGGACAGGACGGCACAAGCGGGCGGACCAGACCCGCCTATCGCGGGCAGTCAGCCCAGCGATGAGCCAGCTGTCGATCTGACTCCTTTTAGCGAGCAATCACTCGACGACTAATAATGGACCCTCGATGGTTTTTCGCGGGCAGATGCTGAACGAGCAACGAGCGAGCCGACAAGAAATAGTTCGAGATGCGAACTGACTGAAGATTGCGAGCGTAAGCAAACTGGTCGATCGTGATATGGATTCATCTCTGTATTCCATCAGCTATGTTTGTAAGAGAGACTGGACAAGGATAGTCAATTCTTACAGGAGGTAGCTTACGCTAATGCTGATGATAATATTACCTACACTGATTACAGTGTAGGTGGGCCGTGTATTCCGAAACCTCATGAATAGTGTTACGTCCAGAAGAAGCGCAGTCATGAACAAGAAAAGCTCAGCCGAATGGAAAAGGGAATAGCGTTTGATATCGTGCGGTCCATCAGCAAGCTCAGGAGCTCATCCTTGATACAACTATTTAGTCCAGAGAATTCAGGTGAGGTATGGATATACCGTACTCAATTCGATTCGTAGAAGTTGGCTACTGGGGACAGTTCGCGCGTTGTTACAAACAACAAATGCAGTGGTGTCACTTGGTATTGGTGTGATGTTGTAACTTGTTGGTGTAAAGCCTTGTACCACGCCTACGTTTCGCTGCATCTCGCAAAACTCCATAAAGGTGGACGTCGGCCACAATTCGTTGATGTGTCTTGTAAAAGGCGTACTTGCCTCTGAAAACCGATTTCCACTGCGCACCAACCTCACGCAATTGCCACACCAAACAGAGTAGAAGAGACGGCAAATTGTGGAAGTGTATGCAGTTATAACCCAAACAATCCCCAAATTTCGTGATGTATCTTCTCCACGAGCATTTACAGCGATCGCACTCGAACACAATTTACGTCTGCATACAAGCTCTGTGCACGGCACCTTTTCATACGATGACGTACACTCGCTGGTGACCCTGCAACAATTAGTGTGTTGACATGCAGCAGCTTTCGTTCCATTCTAGCTCATGGTGGTAATGACGCTGCTGACTTTGTGGTGGCGGAGGTGCGAGATGTTCGTGCTCTGCATCGACGCGTCAACCGTTTTCTTCCATGCACTCTTCGTCGTTTACCCTTTTCATAGAACTACATGCTTGCGTGTGTGTGAGACTCGTGCACCCTCGAGGGTCGCAATAGCGACCTTTCTAAAGTGTTAATACCGGCAATTCATCTCTACCTGTGTATCAATCACCTGCTAGATCGCACTCAACAAGAAGGGCACAGTATATTCCGCGGTTCGTTTCGCAATTCCGCGCGACTTGTACACATAGAAGTAGCTGCCGAGAAGTTGGGCTTTAAGCGGACACAAACTCACTTACAAACACGTCAGCCCTTCGGGCTCACAAAGAAGCATTCTACAAACCTGGCCGAACTGAAGAAGCACCAGTGGGCTTGTACTTCTTCAGTGTTTATTCAAAACTGCTCAGGCTCGTCCAACTAGGCTTCACTCCATCACTTCTTCACATTGTGTCGCGCGTTTAGGCACGTCCGAGCAAGTTACTACACAATCATGGCACTTGCTGTACATTCGATGTCTAGAGCCTTAATCGGTGCAGAGCTTCGTATTTTATGCATTTGTTTACACTAACTTTAAATCTACGGAATCTCGACACTCGATTAGTAGTCCTATCCGATTGCGATTGCTGGTAGTACGAGACACTGTCAAGATATACAAGGCATACTCTCAGAGGCAAGATATATACTACGTATTTTTTCTTCTCTCGCACCTGATGTCAATTCAAAGCCCGCTTTCGTCGCAATCGATGCGATCAATTCGATCACCGTTTGCACTACAACGTTGCCGAAAGCAAATGATTTAGGTGGGCCTTACTTTCGCGTAAACCATCCTCGTTGCGTTTTTGCGATCGAACGACCTGCAGATGAGAGAAATATTCTGGTTCCCACACGACCTCTTTCGATTGTAGCGTTCGCTACCAGAAAGATCTCAACAGAGAGCCTGTCGCGTTGGTACTGCCTACTCATCCTCTAACGACTCGTAATACCATGTCGCTGCTTCCGTATCGATTGTGTTGTCCGGGTAGATATTCGAAAGACCAACTTCATCAAGCTTACGTGGTACAGCACTATATAAGTATGCATCATTATTTGTGTTGCAGGCTAAGAGACGCCAGTATGAGGCGACTACTAATCTGCTACTTCAATATAATTTGTCTCACTGGCGGCTGCACACTATCGTGCAGCAGCGCACCGCATGGTCTTGCGTCGGCCATGTGATGATAGCCAGAATGAAGGGGTTCGACCGACATGTGCCACCCTTTCCCATTATTAGAAGACGCTGGTTCGCGAGTACCAGCTGTTGTTACCATCGTATCTATTCGATTGTAGGGACGAAGATGTAACGGACGGACGCAGTAGCATCAATTAATTACTACAATAAAAGCGAACGTTCACATCGTCTCACTCGATAAGATGCTACACATATTCCTATTGCTGGTACAAGCCATCGCAAAAGTCATTATGGCGCTTTTTATGCGTTAGACATGTGCAATGGGCGGCGAGCGGGTAGCCGTCAAACAAACGCAGCCATATACACAGTAAGTTCAAAACAACGTATTCTTTCTACATAAAAGTATATACTAAAGACGCTTGTACTTCTTCATGGCTCACAAGCAGATGTGCTTAGTTGTGTTTGCTTGATCAGCGTCGTGTGTACGTGTTGCAAATCGATCAAGCGATGAAAAAGTGAAAGTAATTGATAAATGTAGCAGGAGCAAAAACATCAAACAGTCGACATGTTTATATTTATAAATTCAAGAATACGATGAAACTTGGTTGCGGCTAGCTATTTGGTAAGCTCATTTGACTCCTTGTGTGTATTTTGAGCCACAAAACAATTTGATGGTACCCTCTCTACCGCTAGGGTGTTGAAATGTCAGTCTACCAAACTCCTGCTTTATTAAAGGTTGCTCAGGATTGCGATAGCGATACAACTTACTAGAACATGGCACGCGCGACTCATGATTGTCCGTATCCTTCGTAGCGGTGAACTCGTGAAGTACAGGTATAAAATAAGCGACGACCGTCGAGATTGCACGCGACGTATCGTTTCAAACCACGTGCTTCTCGATGTTCTCCATAAATCGTTTTCCATAGAATTCCGGCTCAACTGCTGAAATGTGCTTGCGATTGTGATGTAGGCCCTTATATAATGTCTCGGCAATCTTTCGCGTGTTGTACTGCTGTAGGATATCGATGATGCCCAGAAAGTAGACACACCCGTTCTTGTACCCGTACCGGTCCCGGCCGTAAATGCCTCCTTCGTCCTTGCAGAAAAATGAGTTGGCAATCTTGACGCCTGGGATTGTATCGAAAAGACGAGAAGACAGAGGCGGTGTGTTGGCTGCGTGTATCGGCATGGACGGCAGCGATTTTGCGCAGTGCCGGTTGACCGAAAGCGAGCGCTTGTCGGATGCAGCACTAAAACTGCGCCCGCGTCCCTCCTCACTGCTCGCGAAACCGTTCAATTCCGACTTGTTTTCCGAATCCACCAAGTCAGAATTGGCGCAGCTGTCATTCCACGTGAAAATGTCTGGTAATGATAGTGCGAGTTGTGCTTGTGAGTCTGCGATCGAGCTGACCGTCGAAGGAAGTTGCTGATTAACAAAGTCTTCATCCGGCGTGGACACTGCGCGAAACGGCCGCACTTGTACACATTTACGTTCGAAGACAGCTGATGGAGTGGACAATGATCTGCACCCGGCTTCTTGCTGTGCCGTGATCCTCTTGAAGCTGTTGCTTGTTTGAGTGCCAGCAAACATATTGTTGTGTACGTCATAAGCCGAGTCGTGCACGCCGATGAGAATGCTGTAGTCCATTATCTTCATTCGTTTCAGGAAGTCGACGTCTGTACGAAGTTGCGCCAGAAAGATGGCGCGCTGGGCGACGCTCATTTGAAGACGAAATCCCTTGTCCAGCAGATCGTTGTCTTTCAATACACATTGACTACCCCGCTCGTACTCCTCCGTTGATGCATGCCGTCCGATACGCGAGCCTTTTAGATCGAAGCGTGCGTGAATCTCTAATGACGTATCAAAAACGCTAGCCATTATAACAAAGTGCACCTTCCTTCCCATGTGGTGCATCTGGACGCGGTGCAGGCCATAGAACCGCGTAATGAGGGTGTTGGGGTTCTCCATCACGAATTGATAATAGTGTGGAAGGATACGTCGGAGGAACTTGGAATCGTCCTTGGTCTGTGTTTTGATCATGAAGCGCCCATCGTGCGAGTAGAAGAAAAACTGACCCGACTTGGAGTTGGACATGAACTCGATGAAACCAAAGTCTCCGCTCAGGGTGAGCATGTAGTCGGCCAAGTCGATTCCGAAGCGGCGACGCACTTGGCAAAACACGTCTGGCGAGTAGTCTTTGAACTTGCACCCATGCTCAAGACGAGCATTAGCCCGAAAGATCTTTTTGTCGACACGCATGAAGTCGTTCACCGTCAATCGCTGCTTGAATGGCTTCTGGAGACCGGCTGAGGCTCGAATGCCGCACATCATACCGTACGTAAGCGCGTACTGCTCGTGTTCAAAATTTATCACGTTTCCAGCGGGTGTGCTACAGCTGCATGCGGTGTAGTTGTACCGAACGTGCTCGAGCTTTGTCTTTTCAGCCCGCATCCGCTTATGTTGACTCAAATTGTTTGCCTTAGTCCGGGCTCGTTCGAGGATGTCAGGACGTCGAAGACGTTCGCTTCGCTTCCGAAGCCTTGAACTTCTTCATCGCCTTAGCAACAGTGCGATGTGCCGATATCGAAGTAAGGACGGAGGCGGTGCGTGAAGTGGTGGCTACGGAGCTGCCAGGTACCGAGTCCTCGCTCTCGATCCATGTAGACGCCGTCGATCGAATTCTCTGCAACGATGAAATTTTGTATCTACACTCGTCGTGAGATGATGACGGCAGCTGGTCGGCGAGGTGCTCTGGAGAAACAATTAATTTGTTGACAAGGTGGTTGTGTGCAGCTGGATTACAGGTTTCCATGGACTTAGGAACTCCTTGCTCCAGGCGAGATATGCTTCGTTCAGCAGGTTCTTGAATGACACCGTTCATGCAATTGCTCACCGCGAACCCGTCGCCTGAAGACGAGGGCGTGAAGCCGACCTCACATCACTGATGGTCAGGTCAGCCAACCCACACTCTGCGTTAATTTTACGTACGAACTGTACTCGCCCTGTTCCAGCACATAAGCAGCACAAGGGAGGCCAGATCCATCAAGGCACTACTGTCAATGACAAATAACCACGATGATAGCTCTTCTCGAATTGTCATGTCGCATCCTGTCCACCTTATCAATCGTTGGGTGGGGCAGCCGCTTTATCGAGTCGTATTTACAAGACACTACGAGATGGACCACCTGACGACATTAGCGTCAATCGACCGCGCCACGACCAGCAATGCATTCATTGTAAATGTAAAATCCCACGTCAGCAGAACAAACACACAGCTTATGTGAACAGAATGGGGAGATGTATCACATTTATCAGTGGTCCCCATTGACCCAGAGTCTCAAAGCAGGACCGACTTTTTCTCCAGCCCACGAGGCTAGCAAGGCTTACCGGCTCTTTTAGCTTAGACAGTAGCCTGGCCACCGCGCTGCTCGATTAGCAGCTTCCAGAACTCGTGGGTCTCGGCAACAGTAGCTTCGGCAAAGTCTCGGCCCATGCACTTGTCGTCGTAGCCGTACTTGTTCACCTGGGGCAGCTTGTAGTCGCGAAGCCAGTCATGGATGGCCGTGATGCAGCCAGGCATGTGAGCCTCAATGTCTGCTACGTCGTGGATGAGCGGGGCGTAGTGGTCCTCCACGTTGATGCAGATCACCTTCCAGTCGGTCTCGTTGTCGTCGATGAGAGCGAGCACGCCCAAAATCTTGACCTGCACGATGGAGCCTGTGCGCCACTGCTTTGTCCCGATCTCCACTACGTCGATCGGGTCGTTGTCGCCCACACAGCCCGTGCCCTCCGTCACGTGCGATGGGTCTTCCCACGTCTGCGGCATTGCGCCGTAGTTGAACATCATTTCTCCCCAGCCATACTCGCGCAGCTTACCATTCTTCGTATCTTGCTTGATCGGATTAAACGGTTCGCCCGTCGCGATCTCCATTTTCTTGCGGGTCCACTTGGGGATCTCGCAGATAAAGTTGACCGTGCCATCCGGATTGTACAGCGGAATGTCGTGCCACGGCGAGATCTGCTGGCGCTCATTGTTGGGGCCTGTGTGGTAGAAGTTGACACGGAACTCAAAGCTCGGGAACGCGCCCACGGCCTCGGTCTCGATGTTGCCCACCTCTGGGTTTGCGATCCGCGCCTTGAGGAACTTGAACTTGGCTTGGTAGCGCCGCATGGCCTCTGTCTGATTGTTCGCTGCATGGTCGTCGTTCCACCACTTCATGAACGAGTTAAAGTCAATCTGACCCGTCGTGGACTTGCTGTGCATGTAGGAAATGGCTTCCCGCGCGTCTTCACTGGAAATGGGTTCCCCCAGTTTCGCGTGCAGGTCGAGCAAGTCGTCTTCACTAATGAACCCGTTGCCCTGCACGTCAAAGAGGTTGAAGATCGCACGCATGCGTTCCATCTCTCTCGGCTCAATATTGAGCTCCGTGCCGTCGTCCAGCACCGTACCCCGCCGCGTCCGGTCGGCAAGTGCGTCTTCTCCATAGCGTTTCTCGGCCTGTTCGATCGATGCGAGCTCGGCCTTGAGCGTCGTCACTTCGCTGCGAAGGTCCTCGAGCTCGACGGCCATCGAGAGCACGTCGGGGTCCTCTTCGCGCCACGAGTCGCTCCGTTTGACCCGAAGGATCGCACCTTTCGGCGACGTCGCGGGCGACGACGCCACGGGGCGCACGTACTCGACGCGCTCGCCGTCTTTTCGGTCGGGCGCATTGTCGATGCACTGCTGCATGACTTCGATCCACTTGAGCTGGTCGGCCGCCGTCTCCGTGTACACGCGGAAGCAGTTTTCCGCGGGCGTGAAGAACTGAAAGCCATTGGGCTTCCCGTCCCACGCGTGCACGGAGCTGAAGGGGATTTTGCCGCGGATCGCGCGCTTCTCAAAGTCCTCGAGCGAGAGGAAGTAGACGATCTGGAGCTCGTGGGCGTAGATGACGCAGTAGCGCTTCTTCCAGAGCAGCGAGTTGCGCTCGGGTTTCTTGTACAAGACGCCGGCGATGAGGACCTCGCGCTTGTCGATGGCGTGCGTCCGCGACTGCTTGAGGAAGTTGGCGAACGACGCGATTGTGGACGCCATCGGCTGCAGAGGAGGAGGAGGAGGAGGAGGAGAAGTGGATACGGAGGAAGGGGCGGGCACGACGCGGCGACTGGGAGCGGGCAGATGGGCGAATGAGGAGGGGGAGAGGATCGATGGGGGAGACGTACGTGGCCGGAAAAGTCGACAGCGGAGGGGGTGGCGAGAAGAAAAGAGACGTTTGGCTGGCGGGCGGGCGGCTACGCGGTCAGATGTCTGCCGACGAACCGTAGAAACGCATTTCTGGTTCGGTTTCGCCTCTTGGATGGGACGAGTTTGCTCCGTCCCCGGAGGCCCAGTCGCACGTTGCGGGTCAGACGGCTGGAGCAGCGCGAACCGGTACGACCCAAAACCCGACTCACCCACATTTGGCCATCGTCAATGGTGTACAACAAATGTCCGATAGCGCCGACACATTCCGTGAGTGCGTCGAAGTGATGGATGAAGTAAAGGCGATCGAGTAAAAATTACTGACGATGATGCATCAGCTATTAACCGCAGGAGGGCACACTGCCGAGTGAATCCGTTGTGTCCCAGGAACCAGATATCTATACGTTCGTATGTATATTTCGTTCGGTAGACCGCCGTGTGCTACAGGGATAGAGATTGACCGCATCGATTGCAAGGTTGTTCGATTGAGCTTGTCTTTTATCGATGCAAGGGGCGCTTTGTGGGCGTGGCAGGTGCTGTCTTACTGAACACGTCTGAGCTGATAACTGACTGCAGCTCGATTACAACCTGCCCAAGCATCTACTATTATGCAGGATAAGTTAAGCAAATTGGGGCGATTTACTGCTTCATTGCACTTGCAGGTCGTCGTTGAGTCTGACGCACAAAACTCCATTTACTTCCTTCGTAAGCAGTTCCTACTAGGCGATATTCGAAAACAAGTGTGTAGTTACACCTGCCGTAGCCGGTAGCGATAAGTGTGTCTGTAGCATGCGACTTTGCTGCTTGGCATGCTACATTCCTCGTTCACTTTGGCAGATCTCAGCAACATGTTGAGATGTTAAAAGCACGGTCGAACGCATGTGTGCCTGATAAATGTTGTAAGGATACTCAAGAAAATGCAGTCGAAGATTGGTCCGGGATGAACATTATAACGGGGTGAGCCTGCTACATGTCATTGATACCAGAACGGCTTAATAAGACTTTTATCCAAATTGATAAAAAAATTCACTGCTATTTACCCCACTGAGTAAATATGGAGGAAAAATAATTGTCGAAAGAAATCTATAGCATACCTTCACCTTTGGTTGATACAGGCCATCGTGACAACCACTTAACCACTAATCGCTGCTGAAGGCATACAGGTGAACCCGCCAAGGTACGACTTACAAGGCGGCGCCACCACCCGGGTCTAAGATGGGTCGCAGCCGTTGGACGAAAAAAAGCAGGAGCGCAAAAAGGTCCATTACCGAGTCGGAAATCCTGTAGATTGCCAATCGCAGATATCCGGTCAGTTACGGAGCGAAAGTGAACCTTTCCTGGATATAATGAACCTAGTGATCAATCATAGACGCGCGCAATGGCTTATGAGCGAGTCGCTACACTTGGAGTTTGTAGTTATGTATAGCTCGAGTACGATCAAAAGAGTTTTTTTAGTAAACTTATAAGAAATTAAATGCAACCTACACTTTTCTTCACTTTCATCAGCACATTTATGATATCTAGCCTTCCTCTGCATGTGCATTGAGCGTGAAGATTAAAAACAACTTCCGACAAAATTTTAGTGTAGGTGGCTTGAACTATGTTGTAACAAGCGGAAAATGCCTTGTCTTAAACATACTGCCTGCGTATATTGTCTTTCCGCTGTAAGGTCGACGACGTCTTTCTGTAGCTGAAAGCACACCAAAAGCACCGTTACTTCGCATTGCTCGCAGTGTATAGCTTGTTTATAACTTTTCTTTTTCCAACCTGCTTAAATTTTTAAAGATGACTAGGACTTATGTGGGAAGTTGTTCATTCTTAGTTATCAAGGAATTGTTCGCTGACTACATTCCATCGTATTCGCTGGTATTGAGTCCTTAACTATATAAACTTTAAGCAGCTTCATTACTAAAAGGTTAGTCTCTGATAATATAATACTTATAAAGTGTCCTTGCCATGTATCCAATGCGCCTTCGTCCATGGATAGATTAAATTTCCCTCAAAAGGAGACAGTAAAATCTGTCGGCATTGAATGTAATATAGAATCGGTTTTCAGCATTCTGTAGGTATACTCTCGTTCAGAAAAAGCGAAACAATGATGCTAAGACGAATTTCTAAAGGGGTCTTTACTATTTGCTATTCATATTTATAAGATCTCCAGTACAGCTTCATTATACAAAAGGACAAAAAATCGTCGCATATTGTCAAAAAATATAAAATTGACGACGCATTATATACAAATCCATCCTAAAATAGATTGCAATATAAGCTAAATGATAAGATTCGGACATGATCATAATTCATTAAAGTAAATGATGCATTACAGAATGGAGTTATAATGCATCACACATAAAATATCAATCCACCAATGTTGTGTACTAAAGATACAACATAAAAATGCTTAACAGGACTCAAATATATATCAAAAAAATCCGCTTCATTCTCTTCCATACCTATTTAAACATATCCTTATCATATATTTCTTTATGATGTCGTCTGAAAAAGAATACGAAGGTAACAGACGCTTATAGTTATATTAAATTATGGGGAAATAAAAAAAGGGAGCCGCTAATGAGCATTCAGTTTTCGCTAATGAGCCTTCACTCTATACATTAAGCAAGTATTTGATTTGAAGGTCGCTCTATTCTAAAATCATATTGTTGTAATTAAAAGAAATAACGTTTATATATCTTATATCATCTAGTCAATCGGACCCGTGACAACCTTCCTTAAAAGGTACATGCAGGGCCTTGACCAGATCATAAAAGATCCATTTGATTCTGTGGACGAAGCCCGCCACGTTTTTGACGAGTTAGCACTGCCTGAAGGCTATGTTACAACTATTAAAATGCAGCAAAGGGTGGGTAACCGCAAGGGCGGTGAGGTTAAAGCAGTAGATCTGCAATATTCATGCAACGACCGATGCCCTTATTCTGGTACAGAGTCAGGTACAGCGCCTCTTCGTCAGCACATGGGCTCCAGCCGCGCCACTGGCTGCTCCTTCTCGGCCACGATCACATGATAGCAACGTCAAGAACAACCAGACCAGTAATTGATTAAAGTCACTCATGAAGAGCATAATAGTGATCCCTTTGTAGATATTAATGTGCATCCAAGTGTACGTGCTCTGAGGAAAGAACAAGAACAATCGGTGATTCCGAGTCTGAGTGCAGGCATCAGCGCTGGTCGCATCGTTGCCTACCTTTGTCAATGTGATCTTGTGAATGTTACTGCGCGCGATATATACAACATTCGCGCAAACGAGCGGCGCAGATTGCTAGGAGGGAGGTCTCCGCTTACACACTTGATTGAAAGTCTAGCAACAAGCAATGACAAAAACAACAATGCGTCTAACTGCTCGAAGTTTGATGCTGAGCAGCAGCTCACGCACCTATTTATCGTGTCTCTCTCTTCCAGGCAAATTACTGCCTGTTTCAGCGCAAGGCGGATATTCTTAATTAACGCCACTTACAAGATTAATCGATTCCGACTATTTCTGATGCACATTGTACGCGTAGCTGCGACCAACAACAGCTACGCTTTCGCCTATTGTTTAATGAGAAACGATACAAAAGGGGACTACATCCGGGCGATGCAGAGCCTGAGGCGGTTATTCGGGATGTTCGACATCGCTACACCAAAAACATACGTTGTTGATCTCATGAGGACATTATCAAACGCACTCGGTAACTGTTTTCCTTTTGCGAGGACACTGCTTTGTAGATGGCACACACCGAGAACATTACCGCCAATATGCAAAGTCATTTTGACTCCACGAAGGAGTTTAAACAATTACAGCTCACGTGGAACTTCTTGGTAGAAGCTCAATCAACGACAGAGTATAAACGTCAGCTTGTTGTGATGAGGGTAGATCTACCAGCTCATGTAATGAAGTATCTGGATGATACTTGGATAGTTTGCAAAAAGATATTCGTGTTTTGCTACTTGCATAGTTGTCTACATTACGGTCATGTGTCAACGACACGTGTCGAGAGCGCACATGCGGCAATCAAGAAGTGGTCGAACGGATCCACAGGTAAGTAGAATTACTTTGTACTTAATGATATTGGTATCTCGGATATTTAATTAAACGTCTACCCTTAAGTGGTCTATGGTCGGTAAGCACAGCTCTAGGGTTGGCTTGCCAAGACCAACTTGCTATAGCCAGCCGTCAAAACGGAAGGGAACGCGCCATCGTCGAAATGCAGCTAGGAACTCGGTTTGCATAGTAATGGGCAAGATTTCCGCTGATAGTGTACTGGCAGCGTCAATGGCTTATAAGAATTGACCCAGGATCTTGTCAAAACCAAATGACAAATAACATAGGACATTCTTGTCGTCATGCAATATCCAGATTGTGTGGTGGAGTGGTGATCACTCTTTTGAGGAGTCGATCCCAACTCTCCACTGGCGCCCGGAAGACCGACTAACGGAGGGGGTACTCCGATTCCGTGTTCTTGGTAGCCTTCCTCACCTTGTAAACCCGTCGGTGGGGCGGGTTGCACTCTTCCAGGTGGACTTGTGTCAATGGAAAACTTGACCGTGTTTGCGATGGGGTCGAGGTTCGATAATGGCGTGGAAATCTTCACACCACGATCGGGTTGGTGTGATCACGTGGAATTCGTCACGCGATCACTTGCATGTTTGTGGGGTGCTCGATATGAGTCACCCTGATCTATTACAGATCGCCTTGTCCAAATGTAGACCTCAATTCGCGAGCCTTCTGACCACTTGAGCCGTCTCGCGATCTTGGGTCCTCAACCACAAAGGGTTTCCTGCGTCCAGTAGTTCCTTTTACTTGCGTGGCCCACACATGATATGCTTGTCTGATCGCGATCACCTACCTGATCACT